CCCCAAAACCCCAAAACCCCAAAACCCCAAAACCCCTATTTTTAATAATAAAATTGAAATAATATGAATACCGATACCAAGTGGACTATTCGTGAAATTAAGAAGAAAATTGAGAACCTTCAGATGAGACTTGTCAAAGAAAAAAGGCTAATAAGTAATCCCACTTCACACACCACTCACCAATCCCCCTCCCCCTCAAAAATTCCTTCCCAAAATCTCTTCTCATTTGAAATTTCCCAAGAAAGATCAGGTCCTGCCTAAGTCTAATTCTTACCTGCCAATAAGTTCAGGCTGGTGGTTGACGAAGGGGATTTTAGGAAGGTTTTAGGGTGACTTGGAGAGGGGAGGAGGAATTGGAATTTTAGGAGATTTGGAGAAGGGGTGGGGATTAGGGGAGGGGTAGAGGCGATGGGGGTAGAGGGAGGATGGGGGATGGGGATTGGGCATGGGGTGGGATAGAGGAGATTTGGGTGTTTTGGAGGGGTTTTGGGTGATGTATGGCAGTTTTGTTGTTATTTGTGAGTTTTAGGTTTTTTTAGTTAATTGTTGTATAAAATTAAGCGTTCTTTTGTTTTTAATTTTATATTAGGGTATTAGAATCAAGCTTGTCATACTATTTCGTATAAATAGAGTAGAAGATAAATGATACATTTAAAAACTAGGGTGATTTTTTTAGTTCAACCTACTGTCTTATTCGATTATTTGAGAATATTATGCTTCTTTAATCACTTATTTCCTTCTTTAAACTTAAATACTAAGATCAATAGATGAAAATGCTAAATTAAGCTTTAGTTAATCTGAAATGTTCTAAAGTCCTTCTGTTAATTCATTTTAAAATTGAAGAACAGCATTCTATAACTTGTTGAGGATTAAAATTGTGAGCAAATGTTGTATATTCGCTCATATAATACCTATCCCAACACCCATTAGGAGCTCAGCCTTGAAGAAATAAATAAAAAGAGGAGTTTAGTCAGATAAAGTTTATGTTTTGTTTATTCTTACTAATGAGTTTGAAATTACAAATTTCACACTAATGTCTCTGCTTTATAGCTAGATTAGCTAGAATAGAGCTTGAATGCCTTTATTGTACCCCTTGCTTAATGAACTTTTCATATGCTACTGAATAGTGTTGACAAAGGAGTTATAATAATTTAACAGGCTCTTCTTAATATTTCTCAAAGTATGCAATAGGGAATTTAGAAAGATAGAGCTCCACTAATTTGTGTAATCTTATTAGTTGTAATGTTTAGTAACAAGTGTTTTGAACATTTGCTAGCATTTTATATAAATCAAACTATATCGTCCACCTTGAGCTATGAGGATAATTAAGCCCTCGAAGAATTATGCATTGGCAGCTTCGAAAATAATCCATTAGTCTCCCTATCTGAATGAAACTATTGCCAAATTTTAAATAAAACTTAGTCAATTCTTATCAAATTTAAACTCTTATTAATTTGCTTACTTTATATCACCACGGTTTTGTTATTGGGATGCAAATAGGAATTCTCTGAACATACTCCAAAACTTCTCTAACTTTTGTTGATTTTAATAATGAAGGATTAAATGATTAAAAGCTCAAATCATCCTAAAATTGGTATAGATAAGCCATCCAACGCCACAAGAACGAGGAACCACCTAAATGAGCCAAAGGGTTCGGTCAGATCGAGGTAAGTTGAGTTTTAAAAGCTTCTAAATCAATGAAGCTTATATAGCACAGTGTCTTTAACTCCGCCTGAGAAGCACCAGCTTGCCTACATGAACATTGCAAGGAAATTCATAACTTTCGCGAATAGTGTATGAATTTTGTATATCCAAGATGGGTTGAAGAACGAAGCTTATGAACTTCTTAAATAAATGATCATACCTCGAACTTGAGCTACTTGAAAATGATGTGGATAAGGTCATGAAGTGGAAAGGCCACCTGCTTTACAACTATATTCTCTGTCATTTCTTTGGAAAGTCCGCCCTTACTCTTCAAAATTTGGGGTATATTTTGAAACTTTCTCGGAAGCTGAATGATACAAAGATTAAAAATTGGGATTTCCTTTGCTCTATAAATTTCTTTGCCTTTTATATTTACTGGAAGTTCAAGAGATATGATCAATGAATCGAGGCCCTCGAAACTGCACAAAAATATGTATTGAAGCTAATGGACAACGAACTCCCCCAGAGCAGTAAAATTATTGCCAAAGTTCAGGAGGTTGATGAAGAGACTGAGAAAGAGTTTTCTGATTGACCTTATCTGGAATCCTCTAAAGGAAATACTAAAGATCAGCCAAAGAAGAAACCTCAGAACCAGTTTATATCGTATTATGATACCAGCGATAGTGAAGAAAACACGAAGGAAAATCCTTACCCTCATGATCAATCACAGAGATATGAAAATGAACCTATTTCTGCTGATGATAATGATCCTAAAGAAAGCAGACTATGCCAGTTGTCCAAGTTTAACCTTTTCGGATTAATAAAGCTATGAAATGCATCACTAGTTCTGATAATCCAACAGGACAAACAGCAAGCTTTAGAAATTCTAAAGCAAGGAATTGAAACGCTAAGTATTCTTAGTGAGAAATTCGGGTCTCCTATCATCGCTCAAAACTTGTTAGAAAATCTATGTGACCAAATTTATTGCTCACAAAAATGTAAGTAGAATGATAATCAATATCTTATAAATCTAGGTGATGACCAAACTATAAAAGAGGTGCTTATCTCTAGAGGATCTCGAAATTTGAGAAGTTTTAAAGACCTAAACACAACAAATACTCCAAAACTACAAGGAACAAGAGAAAGGTCTTTAGATGAGAATCATTCTGATACTCAATACATCTTCGCTACTTCTGATGCTCCATATGAAAAAGAGAACACAAATACATCAGAAGGTAATGAAGAAAAAGAGGAATTGGTTACTAAGATGCCTCTAAATCCTCGAGGAATCATTAATTCAACTGATTTCAAAACTATTATGATGACTGCCACCTTTATTCCATTTATTAAACCAGGAATCCCTCGATTCCAAATCAACCAGAAAGAGATCTGCCAAGCAAAGATTAATTTTAAGAAATAAGGAGAAGCTATTCATTGAGAATATTTGTCTAAGAGACAACATTATCAGCTACAATTCTCGAAATAATAAAGAAACTCCGATCAAGAATGAGACATCGAACATTTCTCATCACCCAGAGCTTAATGATTTGAAAGCAGAATCCGGAAATAACAATGAAATTGATGAAGAGTTAGATAAATCAATCACTCAGATAAATAGTTCCATGAAGGATCCAGCTCAAAAGCAGGCAATATCTCCAATCCAGCCTTGTAAGGAATACAATCATTATTCCCAAAGCGGAAATCCTTACAATACAAGACACCCGAAGCCGAAGAGATATGTGAGGAACACGAATTTTAGAGTGCAGAATAATAAATCCCAAGCTCAGTACCAGAGGTAACCTCTCCACTAATTTGTAGGAGCGAGCTAGGCTCTGCAGTTTGTTCTCGAGAAAGAGACATTTTCCCAACAAGTACCAAGGTTCATCAGGCTAATAATTTTGAGTTAAGGAGCTTCACCGTCCACACTTCAGGTGTGAACCATGAGCTTAACAGAACCAGGGATGAGGTAGGAACTAGACTTCCTTTCATCCAAAAAGCAGAGAATAGCAAGAAACTGATGAATTATACAAATAGCTCTATCAGACAATATAGTTTGCCAAAGAGGTAGTTTCCCCATTAATCTGTAGAGCAAACGTTAGGTATTCAACAAAGGAAAGCGTATCGATTAAGAATTCACAAGCGAATGGCACTTATCATCAAAAAGTGATACGCTCACCAAGACCAACAACTATTGCTCAGGAAAGAATCGGAGGTATTTATGGTTAGTGATCTATAGGGAAATATGAAAAGATCCTACCAGACAAGCGGCCTCTTAAGAAAATCAAAGGAAGAATGAGGCAATTTAATTCGTCTAAAGGGTCTCAGAGGGAAAGCTTAGAGCGCCCGATTACTATAAAAAGCACAGCTAAGAGCAAGTTTACTCCTTATCCAAGACTCTCTAAGAAAAATGAGAAAGGCGATAATAAGATCAATGAAAATAAGCTACCTACATCTCTTCTTAAAGTTAAATCAAACTCTCGAGCAGGAGCTTCTCAGCCCAAACCCCAGAACTCCAAAGGCCCTCTTCCTGCTTGTAAATCTCCTTCTTTACCCTCCAACATGCTTCAAATATACAAATACCACAAATCCCACTTAAAATATTCAAAAATCCAGAAACTAAGCCTCCAATCTAAGATGTCTTATTCATTAAATCCCCAATAAATATTCAACTGTCTTTCCCTTCAGAGGGGTTTTGGGGTTTTGGGGTTTTGGGG